TAAACACACTGAAAGATTACATTGATGATGTTATAATATAGTGTTTTCAAACAGACTTCTGCTTTGACTACAAAGAAAACAATGGATGTCTTTAATAGACTTGGAAGAGATCTCAGTTTCTCTGTTTTGCCCTGCAGACTCACTGTTCCTACCATTTGGGTAACTGATAAAATGTTCATAAACTGGCAGCAGTTTATGAATCATGTAGTCTTAAAGAGGTATTCTGTTCTCTTTGTTTCGCACAGGAGGATAGTGAATGACACATATAGAACTGATCTTTGTCTGCTGTACCCTCCTTTCATGATAGCTCTAGGTAAGTAACAAAAGTTATGTCTCTGTCACCTTTAAAAAGATGCCTTCTGTACTTTGTCCCAATCATGCAGTCAACAAGCATTCCTTAAAATGCTCTCATAAGCTGCTCCATTTTGTATTTCATACAGTACTGTCATTATAACCTTGCAACTTAAATCAGATTTATCTTTTGAATACTGCCTGAGATTGTTTGCAGAGGAAGTGAAGAACTCTGAACTCTATAGAAATTCACCTGACAAAACTAGTGTTTCTAAATGTATGAAGAGTGAATCATTGAGTGTCTGTGTCACCTGATATTTGCAGCTTGCCTACACGTGGCCTGTGTTGTCCAGCAGAAGGATGCAAGACAATGGTTTGCTGAGCTATCTGTTGATATGGAAAAGGTACTCTCTTTTTACCTCCTGCTCTTTGCTATGGACTGAAATGTTAGCCATGGTTAAAACCTGTTTTGCATGTGTGAGATACTGATTTGAACTTCATTCAGCAATCACCTTATGGACTATTGAAATTAGGTAGGGAAGAGGAAATGTCAGATCATTTGGGTATCACCCTGCACTGAAAGACAAGACTGAATCTCTGCATAAGGGCAGAATATTGCTGCTGTTGCCATTTTACAGACTGAAATAGAAAACCAGTATCTTGTGTTTTTTTTTTTTGCCAGAAGAAAAAGAATTCCCAATATTTATCATTCAAGATCGAACTATATTATAATTTTAAAATTTTAATGCACATAATTTTCTGATTTGCCTTTCAACATTGTGCCTATGTATTTTTCTTCCTTTCATATGTATAAAACATTGACACTTTCAGGATGACAGAGACTATGACATTTTTCATTGTTAAGCACGGGTATTCCAAGATCATTCAGATGAGTTCCCTGACCCTGCAAGTTGCATGTCAAATAGTCCACTTCATAAACTTATCAGATTTTAAAGTGCAGTTGTTCTCATACCAATAATGTTCTTCAAGTTAACTACTTCATTTTAAGTCTTTAGTCGACTTCCTGAATGCATACATCTGTAACCTATGTTTTGCTCATGCAAGAAAACAATACTCAATATATGCTCATTCTCATTCCCCTTATCACACTGTGTCACTGTGTATTTTTCAGTCTAAGTCTACCTTTTTTGATCCTGAGTGTTCAAGATGGAATGGCAAACTTCAGGGAAGGTTTATGATAGCTCTCTGTGCCCTTGGTTATTGCCCTTCATCTCACTGGTGATATCCCAGCTTTGGATTTGTATTCCAGAGTTTGCCTTGTATTTAAGCACAGTGTGAATGCTATGATGAAACAAATTTCTGCGAAAGCAGAGTGGTAATAGATTGGCAGCACAGGAGAAACAACCTGTGTTTGACATGTAAGGTTACCATAAGCTTGATGTTGAACGTGTTTGAATGTTTAAATATCTCTGTTCTCATACCAGTGATTACAATCGAAGCTCAAATTTTAATATTTTTATATTATTATTAACATTTAATACCATGGGCCCCCTAGCCAAATGTAACTTCTGTTTCAAGGATATATATATATATTTTTTGGGTGGTCCTGTATGAAGCTGGAGTTAGACTTGATCCTTGTGGGGCCCTTCCAACTGAGGTTATTCTGTGTTTATCCACCTTCTATGTAAAATATTGCACTGGAAAATTAATGGGAAATTAATATAGCCTCCAAACTGGTAGAGAATATTTATACTTCTGGAAATTGAATTTGAAAATTCAACTTTTCTTATTATAAAGTATTGAGACACTTCTTAGCTCTTGATTTCTTTCTTTCTTCTTTTTTTTGGAAGTAAAGAATTCAGAGCAGTGTTGATTTCATTTGTTTTTAACACTGTGCCCCTGGTCGGTATAGAACACAGGCAATAATCAGTTACTTCATTTGTAATCCATGATCATTTAGCTACAGACATGTTGCCAAGCGTCCTTGTTTTCCCAGTAGCATAAAGTATAAGCAGCTGTTCGACTTCAGGAGGAAAAATGGTTGATACAGTGGGAGGGAAATGGAGTGGGAGAGAATGGTTCTGTTCAAGCTTCAGTTCAACAGTTAAGCCAAAAAACTCTTTACAGAAATGGTTGACTGGCTGACCAGATATGGGAGGCAGCTCTGTTTCTCATGTGAAAATTGTGCTTCTTAATTTGAAGAATGGTTAATTAACTGTACACTGCAAATGATGAGATAGGTCAATCACAATAGTGATTTTTGTATTTAAAATCTACTTTCTTTCAAATCAGATTTTAGAAATAATCAGGGTTATTCTGAAGCTGTACGAGCAGTGGAAGAACTTTGATGAGAGGAAAGAGATGGCTACTATTCTTAGCAAAATGCCTAAACCAAAACCACCTCCAAACAGGTACTGTACCTCCATTACTTACTGCACCTTTCATATGGAAAAAATAAAATACTATCATATGTATGATGATATGTTTGAGATATAGTGTATGATAGTGCACTGCAGGCTTTTCTGTTGTAAGCACGCAGTCTAATTGTTCAGGGGGAGAATATTTATTCTTTCATGGAAAACATTAATGTAATTAGAATCTGATCAATACAGTTTAAAAAGAGCAGTGTTAGGCCTAATGACAGAGCCTGATTCTTTAGAATAGTGCCTGTTTGATGTCATGTTTAATTAATGTGATTAAATATCAGTATTTGGAATGTGCACATGCAAATTCCTATGCACAAGCTTCTGTTATGGGAACTTTGAAATGTTGATTTCAGGAGTAAATTCAGGATGGAGCTGCATTGGAATATTTTGAAATTACTGTTCAAATACGCAAATAAATGTTTTTCATTTGCAAAAGACAGAAATGCAGGATGGTGCTGTTGTTTTGAGACATGTCTGTTTTTCTTCCAAACAGTGAAGGAGAACAGGGTCCAAACGGTAGCCAGAACTCTAGTTATAGCCAATCTTAAGACGTTCCAAAGAATTTCTTTATGGACCACTTTGACTCAAGACATCCTGGGATCTTTCCTGTGTTCATGAAATGGACAGAGTTTTTTTAATAACATCTTTGACAAAGAACTTGAAGAGTAAATAGCTTGTTTGTGTCAAGCATTTTGGAAGTTTTTTTCTTTAAAACTGCATCATTTTCTCTGACGCTGGAGCAAATGTACTAAGATTTCTCAGTGTAAGGAATCAAATGTTAAACCAAGCTGCAAAAGGGTAACACTATCCACCCAAAACAAATAGTTCATTACTGGTTTGGTTTGCTTTGAGAAAATTGTGGCTTGCCATTAAAAGTGATTTTTTTTCTTCTTTAAAGAGTGTTCTTGAAACCTAAATGTAACTATATTAATGACCTGTGTTGTCTTCATTTTGTTTGTGACTGAAGGAGGATAGTGCACTGTATGCTAAACCTATTAATTACCTAGGGTTTTGGTGATTTTTTTTCTCCCTAACATCTGGATTTTCTAATAAGTAAAACGGTCCTTCAGGAGCAAAGCACAGAAGAATCTGCAAAAAATGGTGTTAGAGTTTTAATGAAAACTGCAGGGAAGAAATTCAGTTCATTTTTGGGGGTTAGAAAAATGCTTGTTTTACTCAGTAGATGTACTTGGATGTTTTTGCCTTGAAGCCTAGAAGCCCAACTTACCAGAAAAGTGCAATATGTATAGTGATTCTGCAGTTTTCCTAAGCATTTCAAGCATTTGGAATTAAAAAAAAAAAAAAAACCCAACCAAAAACAAAACACCAACAATGATTTTTTGCATGTACTGTGTAGTACAATTGGGGTATTTAACAAACAAATACAAATCTGCCTATGATTGGTATTTTTTTTTCGTTTGTATAAAAGATATACACTGTTAGTCTGCCTTCACTGTTAGTGTGAATTTGTGTGGCTCGTTAAAGAGGTTATTTAAGTGGATCAAGCTTTTGGTGAGCTTCATACTGGCTAATTTTAATTGTGATCTTAGGAGCAACTCTTTAGAATAACTGAAATGGGATTCCTTGGTTGACTGCGTGCTGGAGAAAATGAGATTCCTTCAAATAGAAGGCCATATCCTGTGTTCCTTACTCAGGCAGATATCCCACTGAAGTCAGGAATTGGCCTAGGTCAAAAGTAATGATTTTTAGATGACTTCATTTCTAAATAATTTCTGTACAACTTCATTTTGAATAAGAATGTTGATTTGCCCAAGTATAAAAATTGAACAATAAAATAAAGTGAAGTACCGTTGTTGTCCGGCTTCTCCTTTCCTGAAATACCACATCTCACTGGTTTAAAATGCGGGTTCTACAAAAGCTTTTGTGATGTCTTGACTCAAAAAACTGACCCATTTAAAAAAAAAAAAAAAAAAAAAAGACTGTTTTTTGTAGTTAATATCCCTCTGCAATTTGCACCTCATTCACTGAAACAGAAGTGTATTTGTATGCAGCCAGCTAGGCTACTTGCATTTAGTACTGTTTTAGTCATTTGTGTAAAAGATTAGGTTAGTAAAATCCAAACCACTTTAAGATGGAAAAAAACACATTGTGGCCTTTGCTACTGCTGTTGCCATTCAACTGTATCTTTATAGACACCTAATTGATGAAGTGGGTTTGGATATTTGGTCTTTGGTGCTCGAAGCCTAAAATGTTCTATTTGTAATGTGCACTTGGCAAGTAAAAATAAATGCAAATTGACTGCTGTATGGAGTTCGTAACTATGAGCTGTTCTTCAGTTAAACATCAGTCTTCTCACATCTATCACGTATTCCTCAAGCATTTATTTATTTATTTAATTGGGAATTCTATACAATTAAGAATGGTGGACAGAGTGATGAAAAGTTTTCTCACTGCTAGAGAGCCTTTGCAAACTTTTCCTCACACCTTTATTATCAATATTTTAGCTCTGAGATTTAGATCATACAGGGCAATTCTTGATGATAACTAGAGGCATCTGAAGTAATTACTGTCAAGGTGACAATGGTATTACCATCTCTGATTCCAGTGTAAGCAGTGAAAGGCAATTGAGTGAGGTCAAAGGATCTGAATTCAGTGATGAGAATTACAAAAGCTGTTTAGACAGCTTGGAAACTGTTAGACTACAGAGAAAAAGGTTGGTAAATCTATTTCAATATCTTAGTTGTATGTTTTCATTGTTTTAAATTGCTTTTAAAAGGTGTTTAACAGTTGAAATACAATCCACTACTAAGCATCAGAAAACTTATGTTAACATTTCTTAATGCACTGCATTAATTAATTCCACAAACCTCCCACTCAGTTTCTCATCATCATCCAATGAGGCTGGATTCTGGGAAAGGCTTTCTTCAGGAGCAAAATGCTTCTGCCCTTTGTGCTCTGTCTCTGCCTGCCACTTAGTGAAGTAACAATGTACTGAAGGACTCCACTGTGCAGCTGCTAAAATGCCAACTGGTCTGTGCCAAAGAATGTGATTTTTTTTTTTTTTTTCCCCCAATTGGTAACAATTCTGCACTTACTAAGTGGTTTGTGTTTCTTTTAGCCTCTCTCTTCCAAAGTTTAATTTCTTAATAGAATTTAGTTTTCTAAACCCAGAGAATATAGGATCTCTTGTTATGATTCGTTTGGTCCCCAAACAAAATTTGAAGGTTTTACCATATATGGAATTGTCCAAGAGTATATGAAGAGTCAAAAATACTCAGAATTATTCAGAGATGCCAGCTGAAACTGATCCTCTCATAACAGGCACATGAAAAACTTGGTGGATGGAAGACACCCAAATTTGTCCTCAACAAATTCCCTTCTAGGGGAACAGGATAAATGATGTGGGTGGCAAAATGGTGCTTTGGGAAAGCTGAGTTAGAGTTCAGGTAATGGAAGGGGCCCCTTAACATAGGTGGAGTTCTGGTATAGAACTACATTCAAGTACTACATATGCATGAATGTGTGTTAATGGTTAATGAATCCCTGTGTAACTCTATATTACCAACAGCTTCAGCTGAGTAGCTGAGGCTACTCAGAGTCATACAGAAGAAATTTGTAAACAGATGATGCTACATGAACAAATGTAATGTACCACCATTTAGACACACACCTGCCACAGAGGTGTGACAGTTTGTTGCCTAATTCTCAGAGCAGAACCAGAAATCTTGCTCCTTTTTTCCAGACATCCCGCAGAGTCATGGGCTTCTGTAGTTTTCTATAGGCCTGAGTAACTCAGCTTTGCTAGTTTCCTTGAACTGCTAACAGCATTAAAATGACAAACAAAAAAACCCAATCCTTAGAATTATAACTATGCAACTTCATAGGTGGGGGTGGGATTTTTTTTTTTTAAACATTTCAGATATACAAATTAATATACAGAGAAGAAAGCAGGGAGTTAGGTAGCTTCCTTAGACACTTCAAATTTTCCAGCCTAAGATGATTACATCTCTGTAATAACAACTTCAAGTAAATATAGACAAGTTCTCACTTGATGCTGAGCTGCTAAGGGAAAAGAACAAGTTGACTGAGTGCTATTGCATTTTGTGCTCAGAAGAAGACCTGTGTATATAAATGGACATACTTCTAAAATAAGGAATCGCACATTTTGAACAGCAAGTCAGTTTCCCATTGTATGCTCTTGATAACGCGGCAAAAACTTAAAAATACAGCTATACATGAAGAATAATACACCTGTGCTTAGGACACTTACACTAAGTGTCCATTAAACTGCAGTTATGCTAAACAAGCTACTCAACAAAGTTATTTGGGAAGGATAATTTTATGCATACTTTCACCATTTATTTAAAGTCATAAAGCAAATCATGCAAAAATCCTAGTAGCCAAAAACATTAAAATTCTTGTCACTTTCTTCCAGCAAATAACGTAGTGCAAATTAAAGGCTGAACAAATTTAACATCATCTGTTCATTTCATAGTCCTTAATTTAAACAAAGCAGTTAATATGCATGGCTAATGAAATGCCCATTTACATGAGGAAAGGGGAAAGGTTTGTATTCTGAAAGAGGAACGTGGGTAGTTTGAATGCTAAAATCTACAAAGCATCTTGAAGGTGGGGCAGGAGCTGGAGGATGAAATCTTCATTTTTTCTCTGGAGATTCATGTTTTGCCCAGTCTTCAAGGCCACCAGCATAGTGCTGAACTCTGAAAGTATGCAGAAGATACATGTCATAAAGGACTCTCCTTTATCAAGGTATGCAGGAAAAGATAGGGAAGAAAAGTCACAGAAAAAAAGCACAAAGAAGTTTATCTTAACTACACTTGTACATTATGCAATGAAACAGCCAGAAATAAGGGAAGTCAAACACTGCCTGCATCTAAACAGTATATTCTGTAAGCCATTTCTTCCAAATAACGCAATGCTGGAGATCAAACATCAAGCAAGCAGCAGCAAATGGATCAATTAAATAGTTTGCCAATGAACTCACTGTAGTGGGACATTATGGGATATTATGCTAATACTTCAGATGTCATGAAATAAAAGCATACAGGTTTTAGTCTCTTGCAATACAGATCTGACATAATCCTGGGAAAAAACAGTCGTGATTAAAAAAGAAACACTATGCAAAACAATATAGATTCCTTCAGTTAGGCAGTATGAAAAACAGGCGATGAAGGTTATTTTGCACTTATTTAAACAGCAGATTTATAAAACAAGAGCATGGTTCCATACTTTTGACTACAACTGGCAGGGATACTCCAATTCTTGAATTGCTGCTCAGTGAAAACTTGGGCAAATAACCAGTTTTTGACATTTCTGCAGCCTTCAAGTCAGCGAGACACCTTCTGTTGAGACCCTAACAATTCTACCACTCAAATGCTACCCTTTCTTTCACTCTGTCAATCTTGTTGTCTTTTTCACTAGTCCCTTCACTACTTTGTAAACAACACACTGCTTTACTGAAAGCAAAGTCATATTTTATCAGTGGTGAACTGTACAGCACTGTACAGAACTGGAAAAGCAGTTTCACAAAGGATATAGTTTCATAAACTATCTAAGATTTTACTTCTACCAAAATAAAAACTATTCTACCTTTCCAGTCATCCTGCATGTGAAGATTAGTGTTTATGATGCTGTACAAGCGGCATCTCAGCAAGGCATAAGTAATAAATAGAAAGTCCTTCCAACACCAATGTGGTCCTGCAGCACATGGAACCACCTTCAGCATAAAAGCAGAGTTGCTAGGGGTTGTTTTACAGGACATCTCACTTTGATGTAACACCAAATACAATCTTTCAAGGTTCAGTGGGGACATGAAAAGGTACTGTTTGGCAGTTCTCTACCTGTAAGATTAATCTCTTCATTCATGTTCCATGTCAAAATTATTACTCACATGTATTGGAAGTTGAGAGACTTCTACTGTACTTACTGGGAGAGGTCGTAGTAACTTCATCCTTATGCATGATTTCATGCTTACCTGCTGAAACCCAGGGATTCAGCAAAACTCAGTGCTTGTCTACTTCTTGTTCCTGCAAAGCAGGAGAAAACCACATGGTCTGACTTGGCAGGCATCTTCTGATTGTACTGCTCCTTAAAGTCTGCTGGATTCATCTGCAGAGCTTCCACTAATTCATTCACTGGGAAATACAAAAATAAAACAATACAGAAAGTCTCACTTATTCTCTGCCCACCAGTAGACCTACTGGTCTACTAATGTTTCAAATTCCTCTGGGAAGATCTGGGTTCCACTGCTTAAGGAAGATGGGGATTTTCTAGACAGAATCCAGTGGAGGGCCACAAGACAATTGTGGGCCTGGAGCACCTCCCTTAGGAGGAAAGGCTGAGAGACCTGGGACTGTTCAGCCTGGAGAAGACTGAGAGGCAGTCTTATCAATTGTATCAATACTTATAAATATCTTAAGGGCAGGAGTCAAGCGGATGGCACAGGATCTTTTCAGTGGTGCCCAGCACAATTGGCACAAACCAGAACACAGGAAGTTCTATACAAACATGATGAAAAATTCCATAACTGTGAGGGTGACAGCACTGGCACAGGCTGCCCAGAGTGGTTGTGGAGTCTGTTTCTCTGGAGAAATTCAAGACCCACCTGAACTCCTTCCTGTGCCACCACCTACTGTATGCAACCTGCTTTAATGGGAATGAGACTAGATGATCCAGGTCTCTCCCAAACCCCGGCGTTCTGTGATCATGCATTCATAGCCTTGCTCACCAGCCAAACGGCACCAACAAACATTTCCAGGCAGCAGTGCGAGTATCTTACGTGGTATGTTGATGGACGCCGGGATTTTCCCATCTCTCTCAATCTCCCACTTCTCTCGAACATCGATGTGGAGGACGTTGGCTTTCTTCAGGTCCTTGAGCTCCTGGTAGGACACGCTGCTCTCCCTCTCGGAGCAGAGGCTGGGGGAGGTGACATGTACCGCCCTCGGCTCTGTAAAACCAGCACAGCCCGTGAGCCCACGCCGAGCTCCCCCCGGCTACCGGCAGCAACAAAGCGTGAAACGCTCCCTCAAGCTCCGCGCCTCGGGTGATCCCGGGCCCGGCCGGTCGCCCCCGCCGCCCCGGTCCGAGCCCCGCGTGCCGCGCCCTGCCTCACCGGGTGCCGCTCCCCGCCGACCCCAGAGGCTGCCGCCCGCCGCCCGCAGGGCCAGCGCCGCCCGGCACCGGCACCAGCCGCAGGCCGCCATACGCCCGAAGATGGCGGCGACGCCGGCCCGCCCTGCCCTGCCCTGCCCTGCCCGCTCCCTAGGGCCCTCCCCGCCGGCGGCCACCGCTTTGGTGTGAAGCGATGAGGGACCCTCTCTCCTTCCACGTGTCTTTGTACGTACAGCCCGTAGCGGTGGTGCCCGTCCTCAGAGGCGGGCGTGCTGATCATCCCCTTTCCTAAAAGAGGGCTGTGTTTTGAGGGCTACAGTCTTCGCTAAGGAGAGTTTTCTTTTTCCAAACGAGAACAAAGTGTTCCTCAGAGCCGGAGAGTGTGACAGATCGAAGCTGGCACAAGAGCTGGTTCCCCAGCCGCCCTTCTGCCGCCTCCCATATGGCCCCGTGACGGGCATTCGCAAATGTCTCTTCGGAGCACGATAGCTATACGTGAGTTAAAGCTTTATGCGCTTTCCGTTTTTAACAGAACACAGGGGGATGGAATGCTTCCTCTTCCGAGTCGTGTTTCATGTGTGTACTTCTAAAACAGCCGCCCAGGTTTCTCTCTGTGAGTTGCAGTTAAGACCGTAGGTACGAGTGGTGGTGCGTCAGAATGGTTTGCGCACGAAACACAAATCCGCATCGGGTTGTATTTGTATGAATTAGTCTGTATGGCTTTAGTGTGACCCAGGATCACACACACACACACAGAACACACTGCCCTGTGTGCAGCAGCTGGAGCAATCCAGAAGTTGGCTTTTGCAGGGCTCAGCCTGAAGTCAGAGCGGCTGAAGGCAGGCACAGCCCCATGGTTACTGAAGGGACAGGAGAGGGGATAGCAGTAGCCCAGCCAACGCTCCATGCTGTGGTGCTGCATGAATCACCATTTCCAATAACTTTTCCATCTTTTCTTCAAAAGCAGCGCATTTATTGTCTTCTCACCTTCATGGTACAGCCATTAGCACGCACCCACCAAACTTACCCACCTTCCCACACTCCTTAGCACCACAATCGTGCTTTACTGTGTGCTCTTGGCGTTCCCTCTCTGCTTTCTCTTTGCTTTTCTCTCTGGCTCTATGGCTGGTGCTGTCCACGTTTCATCCTTCCTCACCCTTGGCCTTTCATTTTCCCTCGCTACATGGTATCTATGACAAGTCTTCCTACCGCACAGCTGTAACTTACCCGTGTTTTTCCTGGGATGGGCATAAAGCCTTCTGACCTCAGTGCACAGAGTTCAGTCTGCGCTTCTCTAACCATCCCCTCAGCCTGGGTGCAACGCAGCCGCTGCAGGTCCTTGTTTTTGAAGAGCCCCACAGCACGCCCCTTCCCCCGGTGCCTCTAGAGCCACATTTCTCGCCCGCCGCCCGCCCCAGGCCGGCTCCTGCCCCGCTCACCGAGCGCCGAGCCCGGCCTCCTCCGGCGCAGGAGGCGGCCGGGCCGGGTCCGGGGGCGGGCCGCGCCGGGCGGAGCGGAGCGGCGGGGCCCTGGCTGCGGCCCAGCTTCCTCCGCCGCTTCCTGCCGCCGCCGTGCCTGCGCGCCCGCCGCTCGGTGAGTGCGGGCCGCGGGGTGGCGGGGAGGCCGCCGGCCGAGCTCAGGAGGGCCGTGCCCGCGAGCGGCTCTTCCTGCCGAGCGGGTGGCGCGGGGCCGCTGCGCGGGTGCGGACCGGGGGAGGCCGGGACCGATCCGCTCCGCTCCGCCATGGCGGCGGCCGGCGCCGAGACCGCGGCCTGGGGGAGGGAGAACCGCGGCCCGGGGAGACGGGGCGTCGGGTCCGCGCCGCGGGGCCGGGCCCCAGGGCGGCCGGGCGGAGATCCCCGCTCCCGGGGTTCCGGGCGGCGCTGCCCGGCGCCGCTCTCGCGTAGCGGCGGAGCGCGGCTGGTGCGGGCTCGCGGTGCCTCGCCAGCTGCCGGCTGCTGGTGTCCGCCAGCCGTCAGCGGCCCGAACGCGCCGAGCGTGCAGCGAGGTGAAAATAGCGGCGTCGGGCCGGGCTGCCGACCTGCGGCGAGCTCCTCGGCGAGATGCCTGCGCGGTGAGAGGGAACCAGCCGCCGCGCAGTTGGTCGGGCTTAAGCATAAGCTGCGGTCACTTCGCATTAGGCGAGCGAGCGGGCGCGCTCCGCAAACGCGGCTGTGACACGGCGCTGCGGTCCCGTATCGCGACGCCGTCGGGCGGGCTGTGCGCGGCACTGACGGCGCGGCGTGTGCCGGCCCGGGGGCGGCGGGGAGACGGCCGTGCGCACCGCCCCGGGCCGGGCCGCCTGGGCCGAGGTGGGCGCTGGGGGCCGGGCGGCAGCCTGCCGTGCTGTTCGTTCGTCAGGGTGGGCTGTGGGGCTGCAGACTCTGTGTAGCAGCGGCTCTGCAAGGGCATATTTGGATTCGTATTTCGATTTTTTTTTCTTTTTTTTTTTTTTTTTTTTTTGATGCGTGGATATTCGCAGAACTTCAGTTCTTTGTTGTCTGTAGGCTTTACTTCAGGATCTAACCTTGTTCTTGTGTGGGAGTGTTGCCACTAGTAGGATGTGCATGTGGCTGCATATTAAGCGCAGAGCACGAGAATAAACGCATGCAAAGTAGGAGCTGATAGCATTCACTTCAGGTGTACTGTGGCATGTTGTCTTTAGGTACAAGTGAATTCCATTAGACAGACCTTTAGTACGTGAAGACTCAAACATTCCACCCCCCCAATTTTCCAGCATTTTAAATGGAAGGGCGGTGGTGGCACGCACATACACCAGACTGGCAGCAGAGCATGCCTTGTAAAACTGCTCTGAAGCTTACTATGGCTGTAAATATTTTGTCAGATTTCTTCATGAAATATTGAGGAACTTGCGTTCTGTAGTTTTGTTTTTGCCTGATTCGCAGAAATGCAGCTGGCATCTCACAGTTCTGCTGTGGTACATCAAGGACAAGTCGTTCTACTTTAGGTGTGTTAGCAAAACAAACTGGGGCAATTTGTATGTAGGAGGGAAGTAGAATGAAATGCTTTGCTCTGTGCAGCAAGACTTTGATTTTCAAAGAGCTCAGACTAGTTTTTCATAGTCCTTTATGCTGTCTGTTCTACCACATCAATTAGCTCACTCTCACAACTTCCAAGGTAGATGGAAAGCTTTGCGTGGTCTTCGTCTTCTTGGGATCCATTCCAGCTCAACCCTTGAGGTGAGGAGGCTGCATGGCTCTGTGATACCAAGGCCTCTCAGCTTGCAGTGTGGGCTTCAGTCTGCCCTCTCAGGCAGTGTGCTACAGCCACAGTTCCTTTCTATTACGTGACTTTAAAAAAACCTATTTTTTAATTTTTCTAAGACTCCACAGACATTTTATCACAGTTCACCCTTCATTGGTATTGCCCTTCATTTTTTCTTTATGACATCTTGAACCACTTTTTGCAGTTTTTGTCTCACAGCCCTGCCAGGATGCCACGAGCTCCCTCTTGGTTCTCTGGCTGTTTTGGCAGTTATTCCTCATGTGTTTGTGATGACGACACTGCTCACGTCGCTGCTCACACCACGTGGCTGCTGGGGCTGTCAGCGCTGCCAGCACGCTGTTGCTTCACAGGGGAAGTTCTCTCTGGCAGGCCAGCATAATGACTTAGAAGCTACGGCTCTTGCTATGACACTTATGTATTTTTATTTCTCAAGGATATTCATGGATCTGTTGGAAAATCCATGTTAGGCCCTGAACGTGTCAGCCCAGATGCTTTTCCCTCTTGGTGTATTCATTATGAGGCTGGATATTGGCAGGAATCCCTGATTTTTTTTCCCTGTCAGGCACTAGCAAAACTTTTGGTATAAAATGCTAGCAAAAATATGTCATCAAAGAACTGTTCCTTTTACCCACACGATCCTTTTATTTACTTGAGTCATAAACCCAGTTTTGGGTTCTTTCTGTTCCTGTTCCAGGGCACATCTTGTTTCTCTCCATCATTAAAAGCAGGTTTTTTTTTTGGTGGCAGTTAGGTTTCAGTGGTGCATACATGGAGGATTGTGTAGGAGGCAGACATGAACATTGACGGACTATGTTTGGCATGGACAGATGAATAAAAAAGATTAGTAAAAATAAGAAACGCCATGGGATTTTCACTCTCACTTGGGAAGTTGTATCCAGTGGTCAGAAGGCTCTGTCCATCTGATGTGCAAAAAGTACATCTGTGTCTCACTCTGTGAGGACTCCAATCTGGTGTCAGGATTGGCGTTTGAGCTCCAGTGATGGTGTAGGATGTGTGATGTGCCTTTGGGCTAGGAATATGGGAGATGACACTTTGAGAATTTCAAACGACGTTTTCCAGGGGAAGAAGTGTTGCTGCCACTACCAGTCAGCAGTTCTGGTCCTATTACTGCTCCAGCAGGCAGCGAGGGCTTGTTTGCTGTGAAGGTTTTGGTGGCTGTCAGAATGCACGATGTCCTGGCGGCTGATTGATGGCACTGCCCAGTTGCTGAGCGTGATGGATGCGGTTCTCGCTGCGATTGGGTGACGTTTGATCTAGCAGTGAGTGAGCCAAAATGCCACAGGTAATGCTCTGAACAGACATCCAAAATAGATCAACTTGCAGCTTGCATCAAAACATGTCGCAAATGTGCTCGCAGGGAATCTGGCATTACTGTCCTGGCCAAGTCAGTCATTTTACAGTTAGAAGGAAGCTTGTAAAGTGCCATTTGCAAATGTGCTACAGAGCATCTTGACCTTTTGGCTTAATCTGATCAGCGGCCCCGTGCTTTTGTGATAGGCTGCTGTTGGCAGCTGTGCTATGAAAGCCCTCTGCTGATTTTTGAAATGCTATATTTAGTTCCTTTCCAGTCTAATACAATTTTTTTTTTTTTTTTTTGTGCTAGCAACATAAAATGATATAGTTTTAATTGGTAAGTTTGAGCACAAATGGTGGAGCAGTTGGCATTTAGGATACCTGAGATGAATTGAGGTCCCAGCTCATTTGAATTCAGGTGCTCACTGTTCAGGTAATTCACTGTACTCGTTTCACAGTTAATGGCCAGTTCTTCTGGGAGAGTCTTTTCCATATCCAAAATAGTACCTGGAAACCATCTGGAGACTCTTGGTTCTATTTTATAAGTGTGCTTAGATAAGCTGACGGTTATTAAGTCATTTTTATCTTACTGTTTACACTCCAGTAATGCAAGTGTTATTCTGCCAGGTAATCATGAAATAGGAGGAGCGTGGTGATAGGCGTTATGCAGATAAGAGCACATAAATACAGCATTGCCTGGAAGAGCTGGCACATTAATTCTAAGATGGGGAAAAAACATAGATCTTGACGGATGGAATGGAGCATTGGTATGGGAGCCAGCAGTGTCAGGCTATTGCTGACTTGCTGGTGTGCTTCAGCTTTCTTACAAATGCCATAGTGAAGGTACAGCATAAGAAAATACACTACCAATGCAGTGAGTTGTAGGAGTTGTGTGTGGGAGGACGTACCAACTGCTAAGTTTGGTGTGCAAGATAAGATAGGAATAAGTTTTGAGGAATATCAGCAACGAAGTTGTTACCTCTGTTACATAAAGGTCTTGTGGAGAGGGGTGAATTGTTTGTTTATTTTTTCCTAAAAGAGAAGTGAAACACTAGCCTGATACCTTCTATTGGTCCTAGCTCTACTGAGTTTCAGTAAAACGTAACATTTAAAAAATAATATTTATTTTAGGAATTATATCCAACTCTTTGAAGTTTCTAAATATGTACTTCATTGAAAGGGCTATGCTAAATATAGACTATTTCAGGCATACCTTACATTAAAAATAATCTAGGCATACCTGAGTTTAAGTCAACAAATTTAGCACTGTTACCTTCTGTTGCTTGTTGGCAGTTTATCAAATCTGAAGCTTTTAAAATTAGGCAGGCAGATTGTTCTGCTGCTTTTGAAGTGTTTTGATCTTTCTATAAAGGTGGAAATTAACAGTTAGAGAGAAGTGCTTTTGATCTTCATCAGCTTTTTGTAGGCAGACTGCCATTACGAGTCATTTTAAAAGTAAAAAGTAAACCAAGAACAGCAAGCAGTGATGGTTACACTTCAAACTCTTGTGTGCTGAGCTCAAAGTGTCCGAGCGAGTTTGGCAAGAACTAGTTCTTAGATTTGTATGGAAGGATTATTTAAATGGAAGTGATTTGGCTCTGTCTGTATTTATTTTTTATTTTTCCATGAAACTGAATTATTTTTATTTAAGAAGGCTGAGTTGGAAAGAGGCAAATTGTGTGGATATTGCCAAGATTTTAATCCTCAGTGTTTCTAGTTCATTTTGTGTTTACTTCCCCTCTGCCTACTTGTCTTGAATGGATTGTGCCTATGATCAAAAGAAACGTGGAGAGTTTCTTTCTTGCTTTCTTCTTAGCTATATTGTATGGTTTTTTTTGAGGGGTTCTGTTTTTCTTCAGGATTTTCACTCCTATTAATTATCAGTCTTTTGTTTCACGTACACGGAAACATGTCTGAGGAATAATCTGTGAAGCACCTTACAACTCTTCTATCTCTCAGCTAAATACAGTAATCAAATTCCTTGCACAATCACTTTGGTCCTACATTGTTGGTTGTGATTTAAATTGTTAGATTCAATTTTTTTCTTGCAATGTTTTTAGTCCCCAAATGTGTAGGAAGAGGTCGGGCAGTGCTGTGTATGTACTGGGCTACTTGCATCTCAGACACTTGCTGAATGGCTCCCTTTTCTTAGCCCTTCATCCCATTTCTGTGCTATTCAAAAGACAGACACAAGGCCTATGTGGCCAAGTCCTGATATTCTGTGGCTTTTCCAAGAGCTCCAGAGTCAGTAAACATTGCCTGATGGATGCCTGCCTCTCTGTGTGTGTTTGTGAAAGGTGGCTCATCTGCTCGTCCTTGTTACCTTTTGTTCTGCCTGCTCTTACTCAATGAAGGCAGAAGAGTCTCCAGGTTGGTTAGTGGATTGCCAAAATGTGCATTGTCAGTACTTGGATTTTATGTCAGCATTTGTTTCTGATACCACATTGATTATATTTTGTCAGAAGTGCCTCCTTTCCAATTATTCCAGGTTTGATGCTCTTCCTTCCTCACATGTCCCAAAGGCCTGCTGAGAGCAGGTTCCAGCAGCGAGCTGCTCCTGTCTGTTCCATGTCGTGTCCTCCAGCCTGTTGGCCACAGGGATTCAGAGGTGGAAGAGTTGTGCTTGCATTTCAGCTAGTCAGGTGCATAACTGTTCTTTTATGAAGATATCTGGGGCTTGAAATGGACCAATTTGAGCATGACCATCATTTGGGTGAAATCTGTGGTTTGGGCAGTCTTATACAATCTGTCCAAACAGTTAAAAGAAATTCTCAAGCTGAAACAAAGCAGTAGATAGTTACATCAATGTTGAATAACCTAAGCACAATTGTGTTCCTTTAGGGAGGACATCTTCTTGTCTTCGTTATTGGCTCTTCACATAATGTAGTGTAAAATCAGTTTTCTGACAGCAGCTGGATCAGCCTTACTGTCTGATGAACGTCACAATGAACCTTGTGCTTGGTTAAGCCACACTGCAACAAGTGATGGTGTGCAGTTTCACGTGAAGCTTGTTTGAATATTAGACGATGACAAGGTAGAAATACACACTTGAAGTTGCTTGTCTTGAAAGCACCTTTCTCTGTTCTGTGACATCATGTGTTGATGTACATCAGGGATTTTAAATTTACTCAAATGTAAGTATTCAAGAACTGGAATAGTCAGATCTTTCTTACTGCGTGAGCACAAACTGCAAATCTGCCAAGTCAGCAACCTGAATTTAGTAGCACTGCTTACTTGAATGTCTGAGCATTTAAAGCTTTATATTGTTAGGTACAGAAAATTCAGAGTTCTATCATTTAAGGTCTTGATGGCGTAAATTAATTGCTGTTATATATTATATATTGCTGTTATATATTATGGCCAATTACAAAAAAAAAAAAAAGAAAAAAGAAAAAAGAAAGAAAGAAAGAAAAAGAAAAAAATGTGTGTTTTAACAGGCTGAAGAGATGTGAAGTTACCCGTGCAAGGAAGCAGAGAACAGAGGTTATTCTTACTCCACAGAATCCCAATTCTTCCAAAATACTTCTGTAATTGGTAGTGAGATGTTTCTGCAGGAGATGTCCCAGTTTGTAGGAAGCCTGAAAGAGTAGCTCTAAGGCATACTTTGCCTACTTCACCCCAATGAGTGCTGCTTGCATGCTAACAGTGGTGAGTTCCAGTGGCTTTCAGTGTTGCAGAAGTATAGAGAAGATTTAAAAACTTGATTAGACAGTGGCAAACGTATCTAGTAGATCTATAATGAGATTGTATCTTTTGCTGTCCCTAAATGTAAAGTGTTGCAGAGGTTTATTACACGTCAGTGTGGCAGCACAGCTAAAAAATGTTTGGTATTGGTGGACCAAGTGACTTTATTAACCTGTATGTGGTACCACAACAAGATGTCATTGCTTTTCCAAGCAGAATGCCTCACAGATTTGCTGTGTTTGAGTATTTGACCGTCTCACATTGGTATGCTTTTGTATCTCAAAACATACATTTATTTGTTTTTATGAAGCACGTCATTAAAAGATGAAATGAAACCTGCAAATGAAACTACAGAAGCTGTGTGATGCACTGCTGTGCTGACTCAGTGAATTAAGATTTGGATTTTGATTAAGCAGCTAGTGCACTGAAATCTCCGATGAATTTATTAGTTTTTAACTCTCTTATTAAATTCAGTGAGTGTTCATTTGTGTGGATTCTCTGATGTTTAACAAGGGGGTCAGCTCACATTGTAGTTGGTCCACACTTACAGTTGATGACAGTTTTGTAAGAATTGGAAGACATTTGTCTTTTATTAAACCATCTGAAATTGCTCAGAATGTTTTCAGGAGCATGCACAGGTAAATGATGACAGAAGCCTTTCTTACAGGAGGTTTGTTATGGAAGAGGTATTAAGGAAGGAAGCTTTTCTGATAAGAAGTGGCTGGAACTCTGTAGTAGTTTAAAATGGCAAAATAAATAAATCTCAGTATCTCAGATATTTAACATTGCTGCCTGGAAACGCATGTCCCCTTTGCTACAGATACAGTTTATAACATTGTGTAATATAACTGATCTTACAGCATTCCTTAGAGTTCATTCCTGACACATTCATATTTTTTTATTACAAAGTAGGTGACATTAGTCAAAGTCTAAAACTATGTTCCTGAGGCTTGAATACATGACGTGTTCACATGCTAATAGAGTTTAAACTTAACGATATATTTAGACAATAGGTAATCCCTTTTTATCCTTCCTAGTAAGTAACAGATGCGGGTGAAAGATCCATCAAGAGCTAACCCTGAGAAGACGAAGAGAAGCAAAAGGCCTAATAGGCCACAAGATGAAGACTCTTCAGATGATATTGCAGGTAAATACATTACATGATGTTTTGCTCTGAGGTTGAGGGCTAATAATTTCCATGTTGACTGATGAAAACCACAACTCATTGGTACGAGGAAGTACTTTTATTATTTGAATTCATAACAGAGCATCTTCAATCAAGTCTTTACTTTATGGCTGTTACACTGCATGACTGTCCTGAGGGGTTGGTCTTCCATGACAATCATTTCAGAACACAGTGGCGGTCTTTTCCCGTGCACGGAAGATCAGATGCATGGCAGAGGATGTGTGGCTGAGCTGGGAGGCAAAGGTGAAGCACAGAGGAAGTAGAAGGAGGTTGAATTGCAATCTGAGAGGCTTTGATTATGTAGGGATGAGATTGGGTAAGCCTACATTGGTTAGAGTTGAATCTGATGCAGGAAGCAATGGTTGAGAGGGGCTTCTTTTGGTATTGTGACATCAAAATGAAGGCTAAGATGAGTGTGAATGTGCAACTTGAGGGTGCAGAGCACCTAGGGACAAGGGACGTGGAAAAAAGCTGAGGAACCCAATCTCTTCTATGCCTGTCTTCACATGTAACAGTGTCTGCACTCAGTTTCCTCTGGTCCTTGAGCCTAGTGGCAAGCTCTGGATTGAAGTCTTATCTGGAATAGAAGACAATTGAGAGCTGTTTAGCAAATTGGACATATGTGAGTCCATGGGATCGGGTGGAATGCATATGAAGCTGCTGAGAGCTGTGTGATTTTCTTGTGAGGCTGCCCTTATCTTCATAAATATCTTGACAGCAAACTGGGGAGAGGAGTTGATATAATGGAGTGTAGGTTGTCTATTGAGATTGGCTTAGACTGCTGGAGAATTGAGCTGACAGAAACTTCATGGAATTCAACAAAAACAAGTGGAGGGTCCTGTACCTGGGCCAAAATAATTGCATGCAATTACAGTGTAGGAACCTTTACTGTTGCTGAATTGTTAAAGATTGTGCTCCTTTAATGTACATATGCTATCCTTCCTAACTGTTATTTTCAGTTGCTCAAAGTATCATTTTCTTTAGGCTTAACCTGCCAGCACGTGAGCCAAGCAGTGGATGTACATCATGTGAAGAGAGCAGTAGCTCAGAGCATTTGGTCAATATGCTCAGAGTGTCTGAAGGAAAGGCGGATGAGTGATGGTGAGCCTGTGGCACCTTCAGACATATGGCTGTGTCTCAAGTGTGGCTCTCAGGTAAGCACCTGTTCTGAAGTCAGGGGTGGATAGGCCCTGATTTTCTAAAGGACATTACAGATACAGATGCTGTTGGCGTGGCATCTCATTACTTTCAGTGAAACAGTGTTACTTAAGTGCTTAGTTGTCAGAATCCATGCTTCAGCTTTTAAAATAGACTGGGATGTAGCCTTGTGTTCTTTGGTATTTTTTGGCAGTATTTTGGAGTAGCTTTATTTAGGTGCAGTTCTGCACCTACAGGTGGTAGTTCCAGCTCTTCTCTGTATTTCATCTGCGTGCTTTTGCCACATATGGAAAATTAGCTCCAGGAACTGTACAGTTGCAAAATACATCAGTTGAGCTGGCTCATCTGGCAGAAGGTACTGCAAATACAAATGAATGAATAAGTGAATTTGCAAATTGCTGAATCAGTTTATGCTACAGGCACTCGATTGCTAGATTTGATTGAACCCAAGAAGAAGGAACTGGGTGGAAGTGAGAATGTTGCTTTCTGTTAATTTTTGGTTAATGCTGATAGTTTGGATCAGTTACAATGTCACATTGTGGCCTCAGAGTTTAAAAGTGAAGGTCCTGGCCCCAAGAGCTTGTGTAGGTTTCTGGCCTGTGACTGAAGTAAAGGCTGATAGTAAAAAATGGAGTTTACAAGCAATGTCATGCTTAGTTCAGCTGATAGTTGCCTAGAAAGAACATTTTACAATTTTGTTAAACAATCTACAGATCTTTCTCTACAGTAAGGACAAATGCCAGTTTCTACTGGGATTATCTGAATAAGTTTAATTTTGCAAAGAAGCATGCTGTTACTAGGCTTTGGAAGACAGTTAACTAGATCTGAGGAGGACTCATAGATTATCTCTGAAAAATTGTAGCTAAGGAGATCTTTTAAAGGAATTAAATAAATGTGCTTTTTCATGTTTATGCATTCAGTGGCCTCTAAAATTCATGTCTTATTCAGAGACCAGTATTCCTCCTTACTCTTCTAAGTTCCACTCTGTAGATACTTGAAAAACTGCACATTTTCTCTTGAATTTGTTGTACATGAGTGTTTTATTCTGAGTAGTTTTTAGTGGAAAAAAAAAATGAACAACACAACAATTTATATGCCTTTTGCATTTGTTGTTTGGAATGCACGAGCAATCTTGAGCAGTGAAGGTTACCTTGATATTCCATGGACCAAATGAGCTACACAGTTATTCACTTTTTTTTTTTTTTTTGGTAAACCTTTGTAAGTGGCATAATTGGCTTTATACTGACAATACTCCTTCAGAACATAGGAGTTATTTCTCTTAATTCAAAACAAGTTTATAATTTTCCTAAGTAGAAAAGATGAGGTACTATTTTTGTGTTGTAATGAGTTTTCTTGTATTTAAAAAAAAAGAAAGTGTTTTTTTTTTTCCCAAAAATGTTAATTGATGTCTTTGTCTTGCTGGATTATTTTGAATGTTAAACCCTCTCAGTTGCTCAGAATGAATATTTTTATGCATTATAGCTTTCTGCTTGATTTTGAAAAGTAAAGTTTTTATAGTTTATTTAACAAATAATATACTCTTTTCCCACTTCTCTTTTGTTCTCACTATATTAATGTTTTCATTTTTAGGGATGCAGTAAGAACTCAGAAGGACAGCATTCTTTAAAACACTTTCAAACGGCACGCACAGAACCTCATTGCATTGTTATCAGTCTCAGTACGTGGATCATATGGTAAGAATGAATAAGAAGGTGTTCATTTATGCTTGCATATAAAGGTTACTCCTAACTAAGAGCAGTGTCTTTTCATTATAAAGAATACTTCTAGAAGATAAAATAAACTGTTTATGTAGGTCTCTGAAGAGCAAAGAGGCAGGTTTTCTGTACAGAAAATTAGTTTGTCCTTAGGTATGTAGAGAGATCACATACCTAAGAGTATGGAAAAGAGTAAAATAGAAAGCAGTTTCAGTAAGCTTCCATCCTGCCTGTCCCATGAGAGCTTCTTTTTATCTTCTTCTTAGTCCAAACACGGGTTTGTTCCTGTCAAGCGGTATTCGGTCACATCACCCACCTTTTTCTTGTTTTTGACAAAATGTCCACTGAGTTTTGGGCTGAGATGTGTTTTTTGCAGTGGGCAGTGTACTTTATTGCCAATGAAGAAGATTACAGCATACTGGCATAGTAGTTTGAGAGTCCATTGTGTTGTGTAGAGAGTTGATTGATTTTAGGAGTTTACCTTTCCTGCTTGTTTCTATCTGGCTACTTGCAAGGCTTTTAACTGACATTAATTAAATTTGTTAATATTGAAGTGAATTAGGGCTGATCTAAAGAAGAGTGTGTATGGAATGAGGGGATTTAATTTTTTCTCCTCTTTTTAGCTCGAAGATTTGAGACCTAGAGCTTAACTAGTTTGTGTAAGATGTTTTTAAAGGTCAGTTAAAACTTGAAAGTGAATGTAGATATCCTGAATTCCAGTGCATTTCCTCTTTTGTTTAGGTGTTATGAATGTGATGAAGAGCTGTCGACACATTGCAACAAAAAGGCTTTGGCTCAGATAGTTGACTTTCTTCAGAAACATGGTTCCAGAGCTGAACCAAGTAAGTATACACAAATAACTGAATCTGGAACATCTGTAATGTACTGTCTCTAAAAATGAATATTTCAAATTTTGAGTCATATTAAACATTTAATTCAAAAAGTATGTATGAGTATGGGAGTATAATGCAGCTTTTAACTGCACGGCTATTTGGGCAAGTTACGCTTACCACTATAGTGGTTTTTATGAACAACTGCATTTTTTTTATTCAGCACAATTAATTTTTTTCAAGTATTTGGGGCACTATAAGATGGTTTTCCCAAGTTTTATCTTTAATGAGGAAGTCCCACTTTGTTGTAGAGAAAATATTATACCTTAAGTAAAAAGCCATATGAATTAATGCACAAAAACTATCTGGAGGAATTAATGAATTGAATTTTTATAGTGTGGATGTGTAATATCTGAATTTTTTTTCTGATTCTGATTTGTTTTCTGTAGTTAATTAAATTTATGTAAGGAGATCTTACAGTACTCTCTTGTTGAACATAGTGCTTTCTGTTCTTTGATGTAATGCTTTTTTCAGTAAATAGAAAATTATGTTAAATTATTTTCTTGCTTTAGGAGCTTCCCTATATTTATCAGTATATATGATTGTAGATGTGTAGATGAAGTTTTTGTATGTGTGGCCCTCAGCTGTCTGCTCTTGAGAATCCCTATTGTTCATCCCTATTGTAATACACACTGGAGCATTTCTGGCTTTTGACTTTTGAGAGACATCAGATTCCAAATTATACACACACGCCACCCCCCCTCCCCCCCAGTCAACTGGTTGGAAGTAAGATTGGAAAAGAGTGCCTTACTGGATTGGACTATGTTCTTCTAGCTGCATGTGCACAAATCCTGCTAGTTCTAATAGGTGATAGGTAATTCTTGAGGGGAAAAAAATCTAGGTGTCACTCAGAAATTCATATTTTGTATTTTATCTGGTCACAAGTTCTACACTGAGTAATTTATTTGTAATTTATGAATTGCTCCTTTTTGCATCATTTTGCCTGGAATGATGAAAATGCAGTATGTGATTTCACTTTCATTCATAGCTATAGTTCGAAGCTTTCATGTGGACATAAATTGGTGTTGCAGCTCTCTTGCAGATTAAAATGGAATGTTTGTTTCAGTTAATTTAATGGAAACAATTTCATTCTAGCTTAGAACTTCTGGGTAAGACTTTCAGAAGTGATAGGATTCTTTGTGCTTCGTGCTTTGGAATGTTAATTTATGAAATTTGAAGACATCTAAAGCTTTCAGAGTTGGGGGCTTAGAAGATTACTTTTCTGTGAATTGTCTTAAAGTAAGCAAGCACTATTCCAAACTAGTTCAGAAGAAGTAGGGTTGTCTTAACAATCAGGGGATTGTATTAGAGCAGGGCAGAATGTATTTCCTCTCTGTATGTATTTGCGTTTCATTTTGGTAGAAACATGTATTGTACTAAACATCTACAACATCTACGTCATACATCTAAACATCTACAAACATTTCTACAAAACATCTACATGTTTTGTAGAAACATGTATTTCAGTTCAATATCTGCTAGATACAACTGGAAGGAATAGATTTAAAGGAAATAGATTTAAAGGAAATAGATTTAAAGGAAATAGATTTAAAGGAAATAGATTTAAAGGAAATAGATTTAGAGGAAATAGATTTAGAGGAAATAGATTTAAAGGAATCTGTTAAAGGAATAGATTTTTTTTCTAATTTTTTTTCTGTTTGACTTAAACCATTTTTTTTCCAGTTTCCTGAATCAGGGATTGAAATTAAGATCTAGTCTTTGTCCAGCTTCAGTCTTTGGTTACATATGTCGTGACAGGATTGTACAGAGTCCTCCCTGCTTGCTGTAATGCCTTGAAACACAAGGTGCTGTGGCAGTGACTGCTATGTAACTCTAGTAATCAGTATGACTGGTGAGGTCAGGCTGGCTTTTACTGTGAGCACAAGGCAGTGAGCGATTTAGTGCAGTTTTACATCATTGACAGCCTAATGAGTCTGCATTCTTGCTGCATCACACCACGTCCGTGAGGTTCTTGTGTCAGTGCTGCCTCAGAAGCAAGACACCACTGCTTGTTCCTACTCCTCCTTTCCCAGTCTCCTTCACTGGTCCAAGCCTAAAATGGCACAGGGAATTGGTGTAGAAAGCTGAGAGGGTCAGGATTTCTGCTGGCTTTGTTCTGGCCTGGGTCAGTTCCCCGGTGTACCCCCTGCATGCTCACTTCTGCATCAAAAGGCTGCTCCATGTATGGGGATGGCTGCTGGAGGGTAGTCATGTTGCCTGTGCTGTTCCAGACAGGCTGAGGCTCACCTGCAGTAAGCTAATGCAGAAGTAGGAAAATATGTGCTCTGAGCTGGGACCTTTGCAGCCTTCAGTCAGGAAGCAGCTGTGCCAAGCTGATCAGTTTGAGCTTTGGCAGTACTGGCCCAAAGGTACTTTGTTGGGCTTCCTCAGGCAGCAATTAAAAGAGGAAGAAGCTCTTTGACTGACATAGTTGGTTGTTTTGGTCCCAGCTACCCCTGGAAGATGCTAGGAAACATTGATGCGTGGATGAATAAGTAACAGGTGTGTAAGCAGGAATTTCCTAACAGATCTGATGTTCTAGTTTTACTTCCATAGATTAAACAGCATTCTTTTACGTCACATAGTTACTTGGAAGCACACCAGGTGCTTGCACTAGAGAAATGTAGCTTAAGAGTTATTTTTTTTAAAAGCTAGAATACCTTCACAGAATCACAAATATGTATTTTAGTAGAATCAGAAATCAAAGCATAATTTATGCTGTTCAGAAAAACAAAGGACACAGCAGACAGCAGTGAAAATTAACTCTACCATTCATTACTTACCTTTTATTTTGTTTTAGGTTTAGCATTTCATTTCATGTTACAGTGATATTTTCAGTGTAGTTGTTCTTTAAATTCTTTTTGGTTTAGATTTAAAAGAGAGAGATATATATATATATATATATATATAGTATATTAGTCAATACTAAACTACTGATTTTAAACCTGGAAATACAAACTATTGTCAGTTTCACAGTGCTTGTTTCTCACAACTTTTTTTTTCATTTCTTTAAAATTAATCTTATGCTTCATCCCATTTTTTGGGGTTTTCTGTTTCTGCCTTCAATTAAAAAAAGCTTATTGAACAAATTTACTTGCTTTTCATACCCCAGTGTTGCACTGTAATAAAAATGCATCTTATATCTGGATTTCTGTATATGCTAATGACTGGTTGGCGTGGTGCTTCATTACAATTCAAGTAGCGTTGTGTAGAAAATTCTACAGAAATGCAGTATGAGCATAGATATAAATAACAGATGAAGGTTGTTAGGGTTTTTTCTTTTTTTTTAAATTCTTGAGAGCACGGTAGTCATTTAAAGATAAATTAATCAGCTTCAGTGTGTAAGGGAGGGTTATATAGATTTCTTAATTAATGCAGCCTGGAAAATAAACAAAAGCAAAATGCTTGTCATTTGGTACTAATGTGGTGGAATAGTGTGGCAGCAGGATCCCTGCTTTTCACTCAGCCTCTCATAAAGATTCGACTTCACTTCAGCTGTAAAAATGTGCAAATTACATTACTACTACATGACTGACTTTTGTAATTACATTAAGCGATTGAGATAAATCCCAGTGCTGGGTTCCCAAAAGAATGCTTGCAGCTGTGTGATTTTCGCATCTGATCCTATGGTTTGTTGTACCCAGCCATGCCTGCTATTTTTTTTTTTTTTTCCTTTTTTCTTTTTTTTTTTCTCCCCCTCTCTGTAGAGGAGTTTGTTTGGTTAAGAGGTCATGTTGGGCACAAGATGGAAGAATAAAGCAAGATTGCTTTCTAGGGTGTACCACCCAGAAATTTGTTTTGTGGAAAAGGTTAGCAGGCCATGATGATTTTCACAGAAAGGCAGGTGCAGTATTGTCAGTGTGGCACACTTGTGAGCTTCACATGGACATAATGCACATGTAGTACACAGAAACCATGCTGAGACATTGCTAGCTGGGTGCCTGCTCATTTGCTGGAGAAAATAAATTGTTCTGAGGTTTTAAAAATGCATATTTTCCTTTATAAAAGCCAAACTAGACATTGGTGAAGACATAGGATTGCATACTGAATTTCTTTATAAAGCAGTCAATTAAATTTGTTTGTGTGGCAATAGAATGGGAAGGAATAATATCTGTTCTAAAATTCTGTAGTTAATTTTGTTATTTGGAAGGTAAAGCAGAGGAGTAAGATTTTGCTAGTAAGTTCAGCTGCCCAGCCTTTGCCAAAGGATGAAAGCTGAAAACTTATATTTGTTTTAGTGGATATAACTGATGGAGAAATTAAAAATCTTTAACTTTACAGTACGAGTACTGGGTGTTAACATGCCTGGAAAAACAAATGGTATGAAAAATTTAAATGTAACTAGCAAAATAATGCAGAATATGTTGACTATCCAAATTTGAAGTACACCTCAGCAAAAAGACATTTCTGTTGCCTGTCCTAAATTTTTCACATCTATTTAACTTAATAAATGTTTAGACACTGCCATTTTTAGCCATAGGTTTTTCCCTTTTCTGTCTGCGTGCTTGCTTACTTGTGAGGTGTAGCACCAGCCATCTGAGCATGGAACATCAGCTCTGATGGCTGAGTAGGTTACTCTTTCACTCTATGTGCATGAGTTTTTTGGTTCATAACAACCTGGCAGAATCATAGAAATAAAGTTGGTAGGACAGTAACCCCGCAAGAAGAATCAATCCTTTAGAACATGAATCTAGTGACCATTTATGATTAGTACAATGCTGTTTTTTCTAAGGGTTGGATTCTCATTGTTGTACGGTGTTGGAAAAAAACCAAAATTTTTAAATGAAAAAGGAGTGCCAGACAATTTGGTAGCATTTTGTAAAACATGCATGAGGAGAACTTGGTAAAAGAAAAGAAATCTATTAACCTTGCTTTTGCTATGAAGACCTTCAACTGAAGTACTGCAGTTCTATTCAGTGAAAAAGGCTTGACCTTGAAATAAAAGTGCATATTCCTGGAACCCTCATTTTTAATTAAAAAAAACCACAACAACAACGCAGCAAGAGTTATATTGAAAAGATGAGCAAAAATGCTTACTCCCCCAGCTGAAAGAAAAATTGGATGTCATTTACATTTTTGCTTGCATACCATCTGCACCCCTAGGCACATTTCACTTTCAGCAAGAGAGATATAAAAGTCCGCATAGGCTGCAAATGTTTGTAGTGCTGGAGAACAAATATAGGACCACTGATAAGTTTTCTGAACATCTTTTGCAAGTGATTGTGCCAGCACTATGTTGCTTTTGCACCTGGGTTGATGACTTGTTATTCATGAGCTGAACTGTTCTCTGCATCAAAGTAGGGCTTGAGCTCTGTCACATATCTGTAAGGCCAGTGCCGTGCAATTGTGATGTTCCCTTCTCTCAGAGCCTACAAGGTGAGATGTAGATGAGCAGAGGGAGCTAGTAAAGCTGAAGAAAACAGTAGCACAATATTAATTGTCTGCTGTGCTGTAGGAGAGGAGCAACCCCTGATGGCTGCTCGGGGCCAATGCCCACCCTGTCTGAGAAAGGCAAAGAGACTGAGGGGACCTGTGTCAACTCTAGAAGATGTAATAGTGAATTGCATACAAAAATGAGGTGATGAATTTCGTTACACGTGTACTTTTCACCCACCTTGCTCTTCGTAAGGCTGGCAGGAGTTCCTCTGTAACAGTTACTGCTGCCCATTCCTGGGTGGATGGCAGTTCTTCCTTTCACAGAATGCAATTCAGCCAGGAGTTGTAAGTCCTCGTGTACAGCAATAGGTTTTTTTGATAGAGTCTGTATCTTAAAATTCTTTTATCTATACTGGCTTAAAAAATCACTTTTCATATCCCAGAGCACTTCTGTGAAAACATTACAGAATTGCAAGATTAGGTCAGGAAGAATCTGAAACAGTTCAGTGCAAATTCACTTTAAAAAATTACGTATTGGTCTTTTGATTAATAACAGGCTTGTAGCCGTGGGTTAATATTGCAGAAGGACCCTCCAGCCCCAAGCTGTAGAAGTACTAGCTATCGCAGGCATCACCAGCATCTTCTATTAAGACTGGCCAACTCATCACATGTCAACTAAACATTCAGCTTTAGGCCTGTCTGTCATCTGTCCTCAAACAAGGGACGCTGAACAGAGTTTAATTAAAAACCGCTGTCCTTCCTCTGGCTCTTCTTATGTCCCTAAAAATGTCTGTATGGAGGGAGCTAGATGGCAGATAGTGATTGTAATGGCAAAGCACTGATTTTTTTCACAGATACAAAAAGCTAGTGAAATACTGTGTGGAATTAGCTTGTAAAATGTACGAAAAATCAAGAGACGATAATTAAAGCCTTCTTAATGAAAGGAGGTGCCTAGATTTCTGTAACAACATACAGGCCTTTTCTTAATTTATTGCTCCTTCTCACCCCTGTGCTAATTATCCAGCTTTGTGACATCGTATGGCTGGTTCTCATGCACTGTGCTTTGCAATTGCGTTTTCTCTCAGCCCTTATCACAAAACTGGATGCTGTTGCTTTGTTTTTCCCCCTTAAATAATTCATATGTGAGATTCAGCAAATGGAGCCTTGCTACTTGTGTGAAGTTTCCATTTAACCATGAAGTGAAATGCTTTTATCGAGTTTGCCCTGCAGATATGGTCCGCTGTGGCAGTGCTGTCCATATTTGGTGGCTGTGCAAGGAGAGCCAGGTGGTGCTGCAAAGCGTAGCACAGTGAAGCGTGGACAGATCTAGGTTTGACATTTGTCATCCTGTACTGCTGAAGGGAAGAGAAAAATCTGCTTTTCCATATGCTTATGCTTTAATTTTTGCCTGCAGTTTTGTCCAGATGGCCTTGTGAACATTGTTTACTTTAAGATGCCGTCCCAGATGTTTTTGAATGCCGATGGATAAATGCAACAACTGTGGTATACTAATACACAAATTATTTACACAATTTTGGCTTTTTTTTTTTTTTTTCTTTTTAACCATCTCTTCTCTCCAGCACTTCTCTGTGTGCACACTTTTCCAAAAGGAAAAGGTCTCCAATAATATTATCAGATTTCTGAGAGTGACGAGTGCCTTCAAGCTGCATATACTCGGGGCTCCCTTTCTCCTGCTAAGATGCTTTTGGAGCTCTTTGTGGATGAAGGAGCATCAGACACTGTAGAATAACCCCTTGCAATGTAAATTAAAAAATGTTACTGCACATAGTCCACGAAGCAGAGACTGTTTTTGGGTGTGCGCAGCTCTCAAGCCATTTGTTTTTTACTGCATTCAAAAGCACATTGCTTTTCCAAGGACAATTTAGTCTCTTTCTTTGCCCTTCTCTTGTGGAATGAAGAGTATTTTAAAGCCGTGTAAGCAGTGTTACTAGGAACATTTAAAAATATCTTTAAACAGCGAAGCACCTCTTGCTGCATTTTGACAAACTCAGATGCAATTCAGAGAAATAATTGTGCCTTGATGGCGCTGCAGGGTGCAGGCAGACTGCATCAGAGGCTTGTTGCAGATAAAATATTTTAATGACTTGGTTTTTATTTAATTATATTTTTTCATCTTGTAAGCAAGAAACTATGCAGAACCTACATTAAAGAACCTTTTGGCATGAGCATTTCATTAACGTAAATAGGGTGGTTAGTTATTTCCCAAGAACACTTTAATGAGATTTCGATGTGAAACTCATTAGAACAAATATATGAATTCATATGTCAAGGCATAGATTGCAGCATCACAGTTCTTGGCATCTATTAAGTCCATAACTCGTTTACATTGACATGCATTGTTAATCAATATTTAAGACACTGCAGATGTCAGTAATGTTCATATTTAGTCCTGCAACCATGACAATATGAAAGTTGCTAGTAGAATTCCAGGCTAAATATTGTTATCTCAAGTCTTTCCATTACCTCTAGGCTACAAGTTAATGACTGTCTAACTTTGCTGCCCCAATCTATTTAAATAATAAGTGAAATAGGAAAACGCACGGATGTTATGCTGGTAGCATATTCCATTGCAGTTTTATCAAATTCTTGTGGTTTGAAATTAAAATAACGTATCCATTTGGGTTTTACTAGCAACTCCTCAGGCTGTTACAAAGGGAGGTGGGTGGGGGAGCAAACACAGCATTTGAGAAAACTAATAACAACTCAAATTGAACTGCCTTGGCCAAGTTGTACCAGACAATTTAAGGAAAGCGTAAGGATTGGTAAAGATGTGCAGTATTCAGGTGGTAACTTTTGGTTACCTCTCCATAAATGCACCAAAATACAGCCCTTGTGTGGTGTTTCCAGTGCATCTAAAGAACATACATTAAACTTCTTGTTGTTAATAAACTAACAGAACCTATTTTACTTCTTTATTTTTTACATAACGAAGAAGCTAAAGTCTTTGGAGATGTTCTAATTATTGTGAAAGGCACTCATTGGATATATGTAGTTGTGGGAATTTTTTTTCCCAGGGTTTTAACTGCTGATGTCTCATGTTTTTTAAAGACTTTATAAAGTGGCTTAGAGTGCCACTGGGATGTCTTTCAGCTTATATCAAAAATAATAAACATAATCCAAAGAAGGACTGAGTTGTTTTAACTATCCAGTTATGAAGTAATGCTAATCTATAGTTTAATTACAGGTTCATCAAAAATCATACGACTCCGTGATGAAAGCAGTGAAACCAGTGAAATTCTGAAAGGGAAAAGTTCTGGTAATGGTACATCAGTTCCAGTTAAAGGAATAAATAATTTAGGAAATACGTGCTTTTTTAATGCTGTCATGCAGGTAAGATGGAATGCTCATACAGTTTTTTCTCTTTATAGACTTCAGAAATGTTAATTTTTATAAACCATGGGCTTTGTGAAAGGTTCTGGAGGTTACCACTTTCTGCTTTCAGGAGGCCCTTTTCAAATTCTGCTCCTTTCTATCTAAGCAATATTTCCTTTTATTAAAAAAAAAAAAAAAAAGAGTTCCTGGATCAGTAGCATTTTTCAAGGTATTGAGACAAATGAAAATGTCGTGTGTTACACACTGCATATGTGTGTGGGTTGTACTCCAGCATATGGTTTTATTTGTAGTTCAGCATCAGGCACTCATGAGTAATGCATGGTATTTAACGTACTGGTGGGTGTGAAAAATGGTACCTCATGCATATTTTTATTGATTATAGTTTTTTTTTTTTCCTGACCAGAATGAACTATCTGAGTAAACTTTTATTGATTTGGATGTATAACAAATCCAACATCCTAAAAATAGCAGCAGCTTTACTAGCATTTATATTGGAACATCTTAATGCCCGCTGGTTGGACAGAGATATATATATCTGCAGTCAGGAGTAAGCAAATGAAATTAAATTCATTTCATTTCAAAGGTGTTCAGAACTGGCACATTTCACTTAACATTTATGATGGAGGCTATTATAAGTAAATTTTTAAGTGCATAATTACTACAAATGTTTCTCTGAACAGACATAGGGCACTGAGGAAATCTAAGTCATCTGCAGCAAACATTAACCAAAATAAAGGAAAAAAAAAGCTGTGGCGCTATGAGAAAGGCTGCAAATTTTAACAGAAACAAATGCTTTTTCTTAGTAGTGTACTCGCCATCAAGGAAGCAAAAGCAAAATAAACAAACTAACAAAAATGTTGTTCAACAATAACAATGTTATTAATAGGAAAATACTTGGGAATTGTGAGAACAGAATTAGATACAATTTTAGAAACAGTCTGAGATTAGTGATAGCTCTTTTAAGGGTGATATCTGCTTTTTCTACTGATTTAAACCTCAGTTGCACATTATTAAATATGTCTGGTTTTGTCTAACCCTGAATATAGAATTTGTAACTGAAGAGAGCTGTGGAGTAAAAAAAATGGGTGTGTTTTCTTGGATTTGTTTATTTTTTCTTTCAGAATTTGGCACAGACTCACATACTAAATGAACTGATGTATGAGATGAAGGAAAAAGGAACAAAGTTAAAAATCTGTCATACTTCAGACTCCCAGTTGGTAAGTATGCAGTGAGAAATACAGATTTGGGCAAGTGTGGGAAGAAACTGGAGCTAGGAAATCACATCTCTGTTAAAGACGAGCTCTTACTCTCCTGTTTCTTTTTGAATTATAGACAAGATCAGGTGTCAGGGTGGTATGGCTGTCTTTTAGTAGTTCAGCCAGTTTATGATGTCTGTGAATCAAACCTGTTACAAAACCAATTGTTCTGCCCTGAAAGAAGGAGAATAGTCACTTCCTTTCGTATTTTCTAACACTGAAGTAGCAAATAATGCTTGACCCTAAGAAAGAGTTGCTTATGTTTGTTTCCCGTTTTGTTTCGTCAATATGTGTGTATAATTTCTGGCTCTATAAAGTGTTGATGAAATATTTTTGTTCTGGTCTGCCTCAGCAATACGTTGATTGGGCTTGTAAAATGTAATGTATGCTTCCCAGATGGAGTGTTAAACTGAGGGTAACAGAATTCTAGTGAAGACTAAATGTCTTGTCCTCAGAGGCATATGGGAAAGAAACTATTGTCATTATGATCAACATGCTGTTGTTCCTTGTTGTTTCTTAGAGATGCTCATTTTCATAATATATTGTTGGCAGGTGGAGTAAGGATAGTGTCCCTTTCCCTCTGCTAGTTAAAGAAAGCAGTTTGCAGAGTTTTCTTTTTTTTTTTTTCTTTTCTTTCTTTTTTTCTGCTGGTTGCTGGGAGCTTTCTGGTGGTGGTAAGGATTGAGAGGTGGGAATCTTTCAGACACTGCTGAAATTACAAAAATTTCTGTATATTGTTCTGAGTGGTGCTCATAGCTTCTCCAGGCAAGAGCAGTGTGAAATTCATTGCACTGCTATCTTTGTTACCGCTAATGGCAGTTCTGAACAGCAACATGTTTCACCAAGTTATTCCCCAGCCACAACTGAAGTCTGGAGCTTGTTTGTGCCTGGAGGCTTAGAAAAGCAGTGGTATGTTGGCTTATGTGTGATGTGAACCTTACACAGCCATAAGGTTGAAAGATTTATTTTCTCTTTAATGACAATGCTTACAAAGTAAGCAAGCTCTTTGGAGCACAGAATGTATTTTGTGGTCTGTGTATGTCAGCAGAGGATCAGGGGACTCTAGTAGCCTAACTGATTGTAATGGAGAAACTGCTAGCTTTGTGCTTTGGGTATTTTTCAAGTTCTGATAGTGCATGTAATGTGATGCGATTACTTTATGTTTGTCCGTAGAGTTTATGTTTTGTTCAGTTCTGCTTTTAGAAGAGGCACCCTTTCTAGTTGTTTGTCTGGAAATTGTAATCTGTTTTTGTGAGGATCAGGAGACCAGTAGACACTGGGACCAAGGATGAACCTAGGGGCATGTGAAGGTGTGCCAATGGCCTGCAGCTTTCTGAACACAAGTAGCCCCAAAGCAACTCAGAAGCATCTTTTGCTCTAAGACATGGCTGCTGGTCAGTTCTCTGCAGCCCTGGGACCTGCTGGGAGGCGTGAGTCTTAACCTGGAGAAGATGATGCCATGTCCTGCAGGTTGCCTCAAAAATGGCTGGTCTACACTGGTCTGCTGTCAGCATCTGCTTGTGAACTGCAGCCCTGAGCCTTTCTGGTGCTTGATTCCTCGGGGAGCAGGGTGGGTTTCTGTGGCTGCTGGATGTGTGAAAATTTTGGTATGCAGCTCTCAGCTCAGTATATATAGAAAGAAGAGTAAAACAGATAGACCAAGGGGTATATGAGGCAAACTTCCACTTGACATTTATATTCTGAAAAACAGATCGAATAAGTAAGATTTCATTATGTTTGTTACTAATTAGTTTCAGAGAAAAAATGGGAGAAAGTTCCCTTATGGATAGCTTTGATGAACCATAGCCTGGCAAAAAGACCTCACTGTTTAAGAACTCATTAGTCTGTAAGCACTCTTATATTCCACTTAATTTGGGGAATAATGGACATGCCTGTTTAAAAAAAATTACTGGTTAACAGCCAGTTTGTTTGCTGAGAATTTCTTGGTATTGTTACTACTACGGTTCAGTTAATAAGTTTGCTCTTTCACTGTTTAAATCTTTAGGTGATATCAAGCTTTTTTAAAAAGAGTAAAACCATGTAAGACGAAACGTTACTTTGTTCTTTGTGGTAAAACCTGAAATAAGACTTGTGTGTCACTCGTTTTGAAATCTGATACATATTTTGCTTTTACTTCGTAGGATCCTTTGGTTGTAAACCTCTCCAGTCCAGGACCCTTGACTTCAGCGATGTTCTTGTTCCTTCACAGCATGAGAGAGGCTGGAAGAGGTCCTCTTTCTCCCAAAGTATTGTTCAGCCAGCTTTGTCAGAAGTATGTATTGCCAGTATCTTGTCAATATCTGTTCTTTTTTCTTCTCTAAATTTACTAATTTGCTATGATGTGTTTCTAAGCGTACCACTGTCTGTTGTGCTTTCTAGTACGTTCTTAGCTTTTTACTGAGTGGTCCAGAGAATATCATCTTTGTGTTTTAAAGTTGCTGGATACCTTGTTGCACTCCAGGTTGTAATTGCTTTTCATGAAATATATGTCTCAGCCCTTAACTGCTGACATGCAATGGGCTTTCACTGGGGTTTAAAGAAGCAGAAGAGGACTTGCTAAAACCAAAACTAATACCATTATCTTTCAGGTTTTGTTGAAGGTTGTATATTAGATTAAAGTTGTGCTGTGAGAAGTTCATATGCTTTGGGAAAAAAAAAAAAAGCCAACTTTTAAATGGGAAACCTCTGCTATGATGTCTGTCTTTGGCATCATTTCAAAATTAAAAAGATTCTAACAAGTAAAGATGTAAAGCAGTAAACTGAAATGGCTTATGACTCCAGATTGCAAAGAGCTTAGAAGCCCTAAAGAAGCCCCTGTTTCTCGGTGTGGAAAATGCTTACAGCGGTGCTTTGTAGGTATCTTCAATTATGATGCAAAAAGTCTTGCTTTTTAAAACATCTGTTGAGGACCAATTTAAAAGCTTTTGCAAATATTTTAATATTGGCTTTACAAGCAAAATAAGCTGTAAAAACAGCTTAAACATAGCTGTGCAAACATGAGTTTAAAATACGCAACAAAGAAACATTAGCTTTTAGGCTGGAATGGAGACCATTTAATTCAAAAACAGAAATCACGTAATACACTTAATTTATCCTCCTTAATATCATACGTTTTTTTCTGTTGTACTTAACTTATTTTTGGTTCTTTTGAGTTGTAAAAGGAAGTGTATGTAAAATGTCCTTATAGTGACTTTGAGTCAAATAGTAGTGTTCTCTATTTAGCGTCATCTGCTTGAAAGGAGAATATACAAGGAAGTTAAGATATGTTCTTTGCTCTGATGTTTTGAGGATGACTCAAAAAAGTAATTATAAGTGCAGAACTTGGTAAAGAAGTGGAAGGGAAATTGTTAAATAGGAATAGTAGCTTTTTCTTTGTAAATACTCAGAGTAGAAGAGAAAGGACAATATTAAACATGTTTCAAAGCCCAAGTCAGAAGACTGATTACAAAGTAATAACAATGCAGTGCACTTCAGATGACACTGCACTTTTGAAATCACAGCTGTTTTGTATTTGCCCTCTGTGTTTATATTTATGTAGTCATCAGGTGATGAAACATTATTAAATTTTAGATATCTATTTTTTCTTTTTATTTGATTATATTTTGATCTTTAAGATGAGCATACACTGTGTGGTAAAAGTTTGATGTTTTTTATGTGAGCAGCAGACTTGCTGTTTAGATATCTATGTGTCAGCTTCTGCCATCTCATATTTTTATCCCTACTTCTTACTTTCATTAGCCTTGCAGAACAAACCTAACTGAAATGAGTCCTTTCCTGACTCATGTGTCAGTAATGAAGGCCACATCCTGTTAGCACAAAGTTAAGTGTACAGAGACTGTAAGTGCCTGCACGGTTAGGATAGAAGGTTTTGATCTCTTAATTCTTTTGTTGTTGATGGTGAGCAAGAAAGAAGAAACGGAGAAATTAAGCAAATTCAGCAGTCTGCATTGTTAGTAGCAGAAGAAATGGGAGTCTTTACAAAATGCATACATTTACTTTCTATAACTAAAACAAGATGCATGCAGTGTTCTGTCATGCCATTTTTATGAAGTCTTTTTTCATTTTTTGAAGTTTGGCTTTCTACTCCTTAGCAAAGCTGCAGTGAAAGAGACAGGATAGCAAAATGGTGGGAGTCCCAGCTAGGAGGAAGTCTGCATTGCTGCAGCATTCTCCTCAAGGTGTTTTCTGAATCCTGCTAAGACACTGTGTTAACAAAGCAATTTTAAAGACCTGCATTAACACTAACTCTTTTTACTTAACAAGCAACTGTGCGAGCAGCAGTGTTGTCCTCCTGCGTGGATTCTCTGCTGTTTAGAAAGGTTCAACTTGCTAAAGGGATACATTATTTATAGTTTCCCTTATGTTACTAACTAGACTCTTACTTTCATAAACTTTAAAGAAATATTTATAATTGTTATCAGTTTTGCTTGAATTTGTCTATTAGCCTCAATTATGAAGACCAGGTGAGGGGGGCATACATGTGCATGTTCTCACATGGATCCCCAGTGATGCATGTTAGAAAACCAACTGTGTGGGTGAATGGATTGTCCTTCACTTCCTGCTCCTGACAGAATCCTTAACAATTCTCATTAGAAGTATTATTTCTGTTGTTATTTAAATGTAACGCATTTGTCGTACAAAACTAAGGACTCAGGGAACACAGACTGGTGTAGTGGTTGGCGACCCTGCACATAGCAGGGGGGTTAAAACTAGATGGTCACTGTGGTCCTTTTTAACCCAGGCCATTCTATGATTCTGTGATTCTTTTTGGTCTAGAATTTAGGTTGGACTCTGAACTTTATCTCTCCTCTGACCACTTACACTTCTTATATGGTGACTGCTAGGTGAAATAATTTGAAGACTTCAGTAAGAAGATATTTTTACCTCATTTTTACTTTCTCTCTAAAAAATACCATTATTTGTACTCAGCAGATCTATATAAAAAATTCATGTGTTTCATTTCAACGGAGATTTTTAAAAGTTTTGTCTACTGTATTTCCAGCAAGTTTCCATTTTCAGTTACAATGACCTGTATCTGTACATCCTTAAAATAGGAGCAGGGGTTACATTTTGCATCTGAGAGCTAAAAGCTTCCAGGAAGGTAAAAGCTCAAACAACATCTCTAAAGAGACAAGAGGATGAACGTGAAAAGAGAATAACTGCACTGAAAAAATACACTGATATTTCAGAGAGAGTTTTCAGAGAAAGACACATCAGCTAATGCCAAGGGAGAAGAGCATAAGTGAAGGACATCTAATGCTGTTGTTTTAGTTTTATATATTGCACATAGAAGATTTCTGAGTCCAATTGCAGCTTGGTTTAGTTTTTTTAACTTCTTTCCCCATCAAATATCTCACTGTCACAGTTTCACTATGCAGAATATGACCTTTCTTCAGTAAAGAGTTTATGAAATACATTAAAGAGAGTCTAAGATGCACTTGTCTGTGATAATAGGAGTTGGAGTCAGTGACCGAGGAATTCTCTTTCCAGTCCTGTATTTGTCTTTGCCATGACATTAGTTTGAGAAGTTGCTTATAGTGTACAAAACAGGAAGACACACTGAGTGATTGTGCAGAGTTTAGACTTTTTAGTACGACAGTGATTTTCCAATAGCATTTTTATCATGTGTCGCAGAAGACTGGTCCTTCAAAAATGATTGCTTTTCCATAGTAGCACAACTTGGATATTTGTAATTATATATAAATTATATGTAAACACACTGCTTTATCTAGCTATCTAGATACCTCAGGTAAAGCACTATTGTGCCTGGAAGATTGGAGAAGAAAAGTGTATTTCAAGATTTTTAAACACATCTATATTTATACATATTGAATAAATCTGTTCTGATGGGTTTGGGATTTTTTTTTTACACTTTCTTGTTGGATCTATTGACGTGAGATAGAATCATAGAATCCTTAGAGTTGAAAGGGACCTTTGAAGGCCATCTTGTCCAACTGCCCTGCAATGAGCAGGAACACTGCAGCTAGACCAGGTTGCTCAGGGCCTGAGCCAGCCTGGCATTGAAAGTCTCAAGGGGTGAATCATCAACCACATCTCTGGGCAACCTGTGCCAGTGCCTCACCGCCCCCACTGTAAAATACTTTTTCCTTATATCTAACCTAAATCTACTCTCTTTAAGCTTGAAAACATTACCCTTGTTCTATCACAACTTACTAAATAATCTGACCCCTTCTTTTCTGTAGCTCCTCTTCAGATATAGAAGCTGTATAGTTTAACACCTGACACTTGCCCTCATTTGCAGTTCAATTCCTGAAGAATTTCTGAATTTGATATCCAGAATAGCTTTTTTTATTTTTTATTTTTTGGGGGGGGAGGGGACTTGTCCTTGTAGGATTTCAAGAGTTTGTCTGCTTTAGCTGTTCCAGGATGAGTTTGAATGCCAGCACTTGAGTTGGACATCCTTACTCAAATTATTTTAGATGTTCTCAGCGGGAAAAGACTAAAGAAGCAGGGAAGGAAGGAAGAACATAAAGGAACAGGTGAAGGCACTTAGAAATGAGACTAGATATGGCCAGGGAGCTTGTAAAGAAAGAGAGCAGATGCTGCCTTGTTCAGTTGACAGCCCTGTAATGACACTGAGTGGAATCCCACAGCCCATAAGTGGGAACACGCTGCAAGTGGATGTATATTTTCTGCTCAAAAGAAGAGAACTGGGGACATAGTGCTTTCAGCTGCAAGCTGCGTCTTTAAGAGTCTAGGGAGATCTCAGAGTGAAGTTCATCATCTTGTGTATGGAAGGGTATTCATGGTGCATTTTTTTTAAATAACAAAGGGAAAAAAAAATGATACTGAGTGTTAATTTTGTCAAGTGGTGGGGTAGCCAGGTTGAAGAAGAGGGGAAGAAGAAAAGAAATAGATGAGTCTTTCTATAGCAACTGTTTAGCGTCTGGTACTAATTCTTCCACTGTTAATTCTGTTAGTGTTGCAGCTGTCAGATGTTTTGCTAGGACAGATTGCGAACATAGCTACAGGGCCCTTCTGTTTGTTTTCCACTATTCTGAATATTAGGATTGCAGACTTCTGACTTATCTGGAGACTTAGTGACTAATGCAACATTTATGCATTAAGAGGACATAAATTTTATTTCCCTTATTTGTTATCAATAGGTACTTTTGTTGGTGGATGAAAGCGTAGATTTGTGTAGCAAGTAAATCTTGTAGTATATAAATTAATAGTCTAAGAAGGAGTTACGTAATGTTAGAAAAGCTGCTTCAAATAAAATAGTTATTTATGGTACTGTGGTACTGTATT